AACCACATTTGCACATCTCCTGGGGCTACAGACTCGCAGCCGCGGATTCCTCTCCGAGGCCTGGCGCGTTGAACTTCCGAGCATCAGAAGCTGAGCCCCGAAGACCAGTCCACTCGGCCCACCTCCCCCCGGAGAGCAAGCTCCTGCTTACACCTTCGCGGCATGCGCAATCATGACAGAGCCATCCTGCGCCGCGGATTGGATCCGCGGCGCAGAGGACGCCGCTGCGCCGTCGCGCTCGGTCGCGTCGCGGACCCCCCAGAGAACAATCAAGTCATTGCGTGCCCCTCCCCGCCTGCTTTCGTCTACATTCCTGCTTTCGTCTACATTGGTTGATCAGTGGCGGCGCGCTCTCGATGGTTCGCTCGTTGCGCAACTGCCATGACCTCTTCGCTCGCGCGGAAGAATAGAGCAGCTGATTGCGCCGCCCTCGCGCGCATCGCATGCTCCGCTGGCCGATGAGAGCCCCTTGCCCCGATCTCCGGCCGCTGCCACAATTGATACATATGCGCTGACTTCGGCGCCATTTCCCCCGGTTCTCGGCTTCCTGTTGCTATAATTTTATGTTCTGCTAACCCTTTCAACGCCCCATGTTCCTCTCCCGCTTCCATCCGGATCAGCGGGGCTGCTCCCGGTGCTGCCTGCCGGCCTGAATGAGCCTGCGCCCATCCAGATTCGCCAGTCTAGTCGCGCGGACTTGCGCGGCCAGTTCCTCGCGAGGTTCTCGCTTCATTGGCCAGCCATTTTCCCGCCTCCGGTCGCCGCCGCGCTACGGGGGCAAGGCGACGACGACCGCGTTCTTGCATGTCTATGCTTTCGCAACAAGGCCATATGAGATGGCGCTGCTGGCCAGCGCGTGCACATCCTGCGCGCGCCTGTCGACGGCGCGGGCCCCCGGGGCACCCGTTTTCCGCTGGTGGGCAGCGTCGGGGCCTTCTGACCCAGCGGCCCATGTTTAAAGGAAGGAAGCCAGAAGACGATCCGCGAGATCCTCGGCTGCTCATCGATCTCGCGCGCACTCTTGATGCCAGCGGCGATTTGGGCACAGATCCCCCGGCGACGTTGCGCGGGGGCAACAATTGCATCGGGGGCATCTCTGGGAGTTCGCGCGCAGCTGGGCACTGCTGGCCATCGATCAGGCTCTGCATTGGGGGATCGTGCTCAATGCTTGCGCACCCGAGCGCCTCAGGGCGATTTGCTTCGGTTGTCTCTCCCGCGCTGTCTCTCGCGCGATTCGTCTGAGATACGATCAGAGATTCCCTGTCTCTGATGGGCGCATTGTCAGAATTGTGATCTTCGTCTACCATGGCAGCTGAGAGTTCGCGAGTCAGGTCAGCCCCCCCCCCCCCACCCCCACCGGTTGAACCAGCGCCGATTCGCTGTCTTCCGTCGGTCATCAAATAACGAGAGGAAGGCGGCATCCGGAAGGATTTGACCGAATGCATCATTGGGCGGGGCATTCGGCAGATCTTTGCGCGGTCTCCAATGGAAGAAGCGCGTGAAGATCGCTGACTGCGGCCATCTGCATGCCCGACGCATTATTGCAGTTTGTGGCCGATGACCAGTCATTCGCTAGAGGACTAGGGGTTCCGGCAAAAGAAATATACAACGGTGATGTCGATATCTCGGCATCATCGCCCATGGCGGGTAGAGCAGAGGTGCCTCTCATGACCCATAATCCGTTGAGCCGGTGTAATGGGGTGACTGAGCAAAGGAAGAGGGAACGACGACTGGGCGACGGCCCTGGCGCCCGCTTCCACCCGGCGCGCGGGGCGCGCCCCTGGCGCGAGCCCCGCGCCTCAATCCTTCAACTTGCAGCTGCGGAAGCGGCGACTGCAAGCGGCGACTGCATGCGGCGGTGGGGGGCGAGCGGGGAGAGAAGAGCAACAACCCTTCGGAGAGGAGGACGGGGGGGGGGGGCGGGGGAGATGACAAGCTAGGCGCGCTCGCGTCATATCTGACATCCTACCCCTCCCTCCCATCCCTTACCATGGCGCAGATCCCCTCTCTACTTGCACAGTCGGATGTCGAGCAGGGCAATGATCCCGAAAGGGTACGCGATGCATTGTAGAGCACGGCATGGCATGGCGTAGAAGAGCACCGCAAAGCGTAGTATCAACCTAGCATTGCATTGCACGCCGTGGCATGGCACGGGAAATGACGCCAGCGCTGCAGCGGGAGCACGAGTCGAAACGAGCGGAAGCGCGGAAATGAGGCCAGCGCTGCAGCGGGAGCACGATTCGGAACGAGCGCACGCCAGAATCGGCCCGGGAGGCCCCCCGGGCGCCAGAAGCAAAAATTCAGCATTTTCGAAAGAAAAATATGTATTGGAATGGCCTATTTTCGGCGCCGCCTCGGAACTCGATTTTCCGGCGCCGGCCGGAACTGCATGGCCCGGGCGCCGGCCCGGGCGCCCGCTCGGGCGCCTGGCCCGGGCGCCGGGCTCGGGCGCGAGGGGGGGGCGGGAGATGGCGAGGAGGGGGGGGGGGGGGAGAGGAAGACCAGCGCAAACGCAAAACCCATCAATGATATTCTAGCGCATGCTCATCCGAGCCCCCTCCACATAGGCCCCCGCGCTCTCTATGGAGGAGGTCCCCGTTGGAGAACAACCGCTTGAAAATCTGGAGCTTCGCCGAGACGCCACTTCTGGGGCTTCAGCGTCGCGAGTCAGCGCTGCTGTTTCGTTTTGATGGTCTTGGGCCGCGGCGGAGCGCTATTCCTGGGACCTCAGCGCCACGCGAATCCACATTAATGCTGCGCCCAGACATTCCGAAGTCGCGCCAAAGCGCTATCTCGGGGACGCTAACCGCGAGCGTCTTTGAAGCTCTGAAAACGAACGCGCCCGGCGCCAAGGCGAGAACTACATTTTCAGGAAGAGCCGACCTCCATCCGTTGAGATTTAACAGCTTTGGACGACGAGCGCGCGCGGCGCAAAGACGACGTGGAGACGGCGCGCCCTCCGCCCGAAAACCCTTGCACATTGGGCAAAGAAATCTCGCGCGAAACGCTCGGCCCGCCCGCCCGACCGGCCTCGGGGCGCCATGGAGAGAAGGACTAGAGCAGGAGGCATTATGTTCGGCGCGGAGCGGCCAGCGGGCGGGATTTCGCAGGGCGCTGCGCGCGAGGAGAAGGACGGCGAGGTCATTCCCTGTTTCTTCGAATTCGCGGGCCCAGACCCAGGCGGGGCGACGGCGACGCCGCGGGGCGCCATTGCGCGCCGCGCGCTGCGGAACCTCGAAGTCCCGCCCGACGCCGCGCCCCGAGGCTCCGCGAGAGAGCGGCCCCCAGAGGTTCTCAAGAAGCCCCCGATGCCCCCCGCGCTCGGGGGGGCTTCCAGCCACGCTGGGGGCCCCGTCGCAGACGAAACGCGGCCGCGAGAGCGCGGGTCTGAAGCGCGAGCTCCGCCCCAGAGAGCGCGAGGCCCCGCGGGGGCCCCCCGAACTGCAAGCGGTCCGATGTAGAGCCCAGACACGAGAAACACACGGGCGCCGCTTTCGTTTTGCCGCGCCGACGGAAGGACGAACCGGGCGCCCGCGCGCGAGGCCCCCTTCGAAAGATCTCGCGCGGCCGACGCGCTGGGCGCACGGCCCCCGAGGCCAGCTCGGGGTCGCCTCGACTTGCGCGACAAGAACACAGCGGCGGCCGCAAGGGCGCCCCCGCGCCGACGCGGGCGAACGCGTCTAGAGCACGGGGGCCAATGGCGCCCGGCGCGCACGGCGATTGCTCTGACGGCGGGCGCGACGCCGTGCAGAGGGCTCGCCAGCGAACCGCGCGCGACTCAGGGCGCCCTGCGCGGCCCACAGCGCGCCCCAAAACACCAGTCGGCCGATGGCATGGGCCGAGATAGCAACGGCAGAAATCATGGCCCACGGCTCCATCAGCAAAACCAGCGGGGCGGAATACAGGCAAGCCCTGGTAGTCCCAACGCGCGGACAAAAAACGTGGATGAGGCTGGGCGCTCGCGGCGCGTTGGCCACATGTAAACCATGTCGCGGCGTCGCGCGCGCGTCGTCTGTCCCGCTTTGCTGAAACATATGACGCGTCGGTCGGCTTGACCTGGACCGGGGACATTCGCGACTGCGCCGCGAAGATTCGCGATTACATTCGCGCGCCAGGAAATCTCGCGCGGCGGTCTTATAATTTTCCAATGTTTGGACAGCAGCGAACGCTGGAATTCCTCCGGGAACTTCCTCTCATCGGGGTCCTGGCCGCAGAAGTCGTCGTTGAACGACTTCCAGAATCCGGACTCGCACTGCAGCAGAAAGCCGACCTCTATGCCGTCAGCGCCTTGCGCGCCGCCAGCAACAGCGGCCTCAGCACCTGCACCGCGACCGCCTGCAGGAGCAGCGCCGCCGCTGGCGGAGGAGCGGCCACGGGCAGCTTCGCAGCTGCGGCGCCGGCGACAGTCTTGCGCAGAAGCTGCTGTAGCGGCGCCGCGGCCGTCCCGAGGTCCGCCCCGTGCAACTCCGACGCAACAGACTTCGCGATTGTGACGTGTTGTGCCACGCAGCCAACCGGCGAGGGCGGCATAGGCTTCGGATTCTCGGCCTCCTCGGCAACAAACGTCTCCTCGGCCTCCGCGGCAGCACGGCCCATCGCGGAATGGAGGGGGGAGCGCGCCGATTGAAGACTGTGCACGGACTAGTGCCATCCTTTCTGCCTGGAGGCTGAACAACCCCCCAGGAAGACATCTTGAGGAGGAGAAGGGGGATGAGGAGGAGGAGGAGGAGGAAGAGGAGGAGGAGGAAGAGGAGGGGGAGGAGGAGGAGGAACAGGAGGGAGAAGACACAACCGTGGCCGTGCCTGGCGTTTTTCGTCCAGTCCTGGTCCTTTCGGAGGATTCTCGTCGCCACTGCAAGAACCGTAACGACGAACGGGCAAATATGGGGCCCCAAGAAAGGGTCCGTGTCTTGGCGGGTGTGGGCCCAAGCGGGAGAGCCGCGCAGTTGACTCAACTGGCCCTCGCCGGAGAAGAAAAAATGGGCATGGGGGGGTCGCACCCCATGCTACCCGTCCAGAAGCCTCTCGAGCAACTCTCCAGCTCCTCGATGGCGGCGATGGTCACCGTCTTCGGGCAGCCCGTGACGGAGCCGCCTGGGCGACGGTCGCGGAAGGGTCGGGCCCAACATTGCCAGTTCTTTCCCCTCCTCCCTCCTCGCTCCTCCCTCTTACCTCCACCAGTCCTCCCTCCCACTGCTCCTCGTCCACCCCCCCACTATCCTTCTCCTCCCTTCTGCCTCCTCTTCCTCCTTTGTCTTAAGCCGCTTGGAGCGGCAAGCTCGTGTGCCCCAGCGCTTCCTTATGCTGTGGGGCACAAGATTGAGACGGCTGCTGATGCTCCCGCCCTCTATTATCCTTTTTTCTGCTCCTCCTCGGGTTCTGCGTCCTCTGGTGGTGTTGTCGCTGTTGCCGCTGTTCTTGTTTGCCGTTGCTACGGCTGGGCGCCGTCCTCCTCCTGCCCAGAGTTACTCGCGTTCCTTGCCGCACGCCACCTCCTGTCCCCCCGTCGCCTTCTCCTCTCGTCACCGACTTCTGAAATTGTGTTCACTACTCGTACCATTTTCTCCCAACAAGCACACCAACGGTGCCCGACCACGTGCACTGGGCAAACTTGGAACAACCTGCGGGCCAACCTGCGATAGGCGAGCCACCATTGGGGCGGCGGTAGGCGCGGCGGTCGTCGTTCTCGTCATCCTCTCGTCGTCCTGGCGCGCGCACCTCCTCTCCTCCTCAAACCGGGTTCACTGCTCGTCCTGCTGGCCGCCCACGACTGTGCGTGGCCGACGGACCAACGGGGACCATCGGGCTCCAGCCGCCCGCAGCTCCTCACCTTCCTCCTCATCCTCCTCCCCCCCCTGGTTCCTCCTCGCTCCCCTCCCCCGGCCTCCCCCCTCCTCTGTTCTCTTCCTCCTCGATCCCCCCCGGGGGACTGGCTCGGGCTCGGGGGGGGGGGAGGCGATGAGCTGGAATCGGCGGCACATCATCGCCGATAGGTCTGGGCCCCCGATGGCCAAGCCGCTCGCTCCCAGGGGCGCGCAGGCCCCGATGGGCTATGCACTGGTGGTTGGAGATCGATGCGCCTGAAGCGAGCGCGCGCGCGCGCGCGCGCCCGTGTCCTCCGACCAAGCCGCGCGTGCGCGCCCTGGCGTATCCCAGAGCGCCGATCGCTCATATCTCTTGCCATCGCTCGGACGTCCATTCCCCGTGCCTTTTTCGGCTCCGTGCGTGTATTGCTCGCAAGATGACCTCAGATGCTCCTCGATGGCCCTGCCCCTGCCGAGAGAAAAAACGCACACGTCCGAACGATGCCAAGTGGGACTGAAGAGATCACATCGTCGGAGATGCCCCTTGACTGTCCACCCCCGGTGCCTCCGCCGAGCACGGGCGCGGGGCAGCTCTCCCACCTCGCCCACACTCGCTCGAACTTGGTCCCTAACCTGGGGGTCTCGCTCCTGGGGTCCACCCTGACCTGTTCTCTAAAGGAGCCCCGGGGGACACGAACACATCGGCACACGTTCCAGGATTCCCCATGCGCTCTATAGCTCCTTGAACATACTCTCCTCCAGCCCCACGATTCTACAGCGAATTCGCCCGCCCCCGGCCAAGTATTACCAGCTGGGAGCATATCCCTATCCCTATGTTTGGCATCACCTTACCTCGGTGCCGGTCTGAAGGGTCCCGTCAGTTTCTCAGAGAACATCCCTAGTATTGTCATCGTCGTGGGCTTGCCGATCCCAGGGAGAAGGAGAAGACTGCGGCTGGCCCGACCTGAGCAGGACCGCGGGTATCCCCAGCGGTCCTGCTCAGGTCGAGCATCGCTTCGCATCACGTGGCAGCAGTCGTGTCCAGCTGTGTGGACGCGGCCGCAACAAACCATCGCAATAAACCCAATACTGAACACCCGCACGCGAGATGCAGCGGGGGGAACGCCCAGAGCACCCTGAACGCAGCAGCTTCTCTAACGGCCGCGGGAGTTCACTGCGCAGCGCGCGGAGCAAAGAAACCCAGAGCATCCTGGCGAGAAGCATGTTGTGTCTTGATGCGCGTCCCCACTGCAGGAGCGACACGCGTCATCTTTGAGAAGACCTTAAAGCCTTGAGCGCAGCGGTGCAGATGCGCAAACACATGTATTCATAAACACATTTATATACACCGACATACTTATATTCATATAAATGCATGTAAGTATGTAGGTGTGTGGGGGGTATAGATGCCCGCGTGCAATGTATAATATGTGCAAATGCAAAAAAAAAACATAAAAGACAAGAAAACGCCACATACAATGATAATACAAACGCGCGGGAGGTCCGCAGTCTGGCGAGACAGATGAGGCGGGCTGCCCCGGCGGGGGCAGGGGCCCGCCAGGGAAGAGGACCCCGAGCGCCTCCCAGGAGTCTGCGTCGTCCTTGCGGGGGGGAGGCTGGGGAGGGCCCCTCCTCCTCGTTCTCCCTCCCTCCTCCTCCTCCTCCTCCTCCTCCTCCTCCTCCTCCTTCCTCCTCCCCCTCATTATCCTCCTCATTCTCCTCCTCGGTGGCCCTGACGAGGGGGTGACGGCGACAGTGGCAATGCCGAAACGCGCCCATAGTCCAGCAAGGCATGAGGGTGCAAACCCGACTCGTCTGGCTGATGCTCTAGGCTCTAGGGGGGGCCTGTGTTCAGGGGAGGCTGCAGCACCGCTCAACGATCTGCTGTCAACCAAACCAGCAGGGTGGGCCCTTTCCATTTCTCTCTGCACTTCAGCTCTTCCCTCCTCCTCCACCTCCTCTTTCCCCTCCAGCTGCCATCTGGGCCCAACACATGCAAGGGCCGCCAGCGAACCCAAACAGTCCTTACACAGTGGGTGATGACATAATGAATGGGGTGACGGCCCGCATGGGCAAGGCAATCGAATGGACAACCTCTCTCGCGACTCCTCTCGCTCTGCATGTCAACAATCCGATCACCATGCACCGTGTGTTCGCTGGACCGCTGAGGCACCATGCAATGCAGTGGACTTCAAGCTCACAGATACGCGCAAGACGCCTACTACTCCTTCACTGCGCTAGATAAACTCAGCTGAAGTTCCTCACCTTCGTGGCGCACAAGGCGGAGAAGGAGTACTGCGAGCAGCACCTCAACGACAAGTACAAGGCGCCCCAGAAGCAGCTGAGCTTCACGGGCCAGGACGCAACGCTGGGCACCAAGGACACAACGAAGCACGATAATTACGCGGACCAAGACGGCACGCAGGGCACGCAGGGCACTGCGGCGCACGAGGAACAGAAGAACCCCGCAAACCAGAGAAAAACGCTGGGCCATAACGACCTCACGGAGCAGCAGTGCACGCCGATCGCCAATGACGCCAATACGCACGAAGAGCAACAGAGCTTCGCAGGGAGGGACGCGGCGATGAGCAACAAGGACGCGACACACGAGACACATCACAGCGACGCGGCGGCCCAGGACGAGACGCTCGGCACAGAGGACACCGCGACGCATGAGGAGCAGCGGAGCAACATAGACCAGCAGACGACGCCGGACAACAGGGGCGCACCGCTGGGCGACAGGAGCTCCGAGGCGCGCGAGCAGCAGAGCAACGCTGACCAGGACGCGACGCTGGGCTCCAACAGCGCGACCCTAGAGGAGCAGCAGAGCCTCGCAGAGCAGGAGGGGCTGAGCACCAAGGATTACGCGGCGCACGCGGAGCAGCAGAGCTACGACGACCAGGACACGACGCTGGGCACGGAGGGGCGCGAACATAACGCGGCAGACGAGATGCCGCCCGCTGTCCTCGATTTCATCTGCGACGAAGCGGCTCGAGGAGGGCTGCGCGGTCACGGCTTCGTGGGCCTCGTGGATGCACGCCAGGTTCCACGAGTGGATCGAGGAAGCAATCACCGAGTGGTCCCGCTACAGCGTCGTCGAGCGGGCGCAGCTGAGCTTCGCAGACCAGGGGGGAGGCGCCGAGCACCAAGAACCCCGAGGCGCACGAGAAGATGCACGCCAGGCTCCACGAGTGGATCGAGGAGGCAGTCACCGAGTGGTCCAGCATCGGTGTTTTCGAGCGGGACGGCATAGGAGACATAGTCGGGATAGCCGGGCTGGGCGACAACGAGAGCGACGAAGAGGACACTGGCATAGAGTGGGAGGCAACTGGCTAGCAAACATATGCGAGGAGCAGGTGCCATCCTGCCCGCGTACCCCTGCGTGGGAAGAGCCAAGGCAGCAGGGGCCAAAGCGTCGCTTAGCGCGAACGACCTCCCACAAAGTGAACACAGCAAGGCCGAACTAGCACTATTCACTGCTATGCCGCAGTTGCAGCAGAGCAGTAACCCCGAACTGGCCCCAATGCTCGATCGATCGATCGATCTTCCTTCTCCTCCTCCTCCTCCTCCTCCTCCTTCTCCTCCCCCTCCTCTCTCGCCGTTCTCTCTTCCTCCCTCACCCTTGTACTCCTCGCCCTCCTCCTCGCACGTCGCCGAGGGGGGCGCCGAGTCTCACAGTCTCGCCCGCGCTTTCCTAGCTAGCTGGGCCTGCACAGCAGGCACTACCAGGCCCAAGAGCCCTTCCGAATTGTGATGACCAAGAGCTGACACACGAATGAAAACAAAATAAGCAGCACACACAAGGTGAATGGAGGACTCAGACGGAGAGAGAACACCGAGACGATGGATGGGACAACTCGGGACGGAGGCATCATGCATGGCAGACCTAACTATAGCCCACATATTGGGGCATCACCAGTAGTGTTTAAAACTGTCAGGTTGGTGTTCGCACTGAAAGATACATGGCCTGACTTCGTTGTCACGCATCCTGAACGTCGTTATCCACGCCCCGCTGAGAGTACGCCAAACCGCGTGCCTGAAAGCGGGTGGCAGACGAGAAACAGCACGTTGAACCCCGCTTCAATTAATTCCTCGAATTAATTGAGCCTTTTCCAGGAAAATAACGACACCATCTGTCAGACCAATCTCGGGCTAGAGTGTCTGGTAACAACTCAGCTCCAAAGGCTCTAAGGGTAACTCCTTGAAGCTTAATTCGCTTCGCGGGGTGGGGTGTGAGTCTACGCTCGGCAAGGACTCGATCTGCTGCAGCCAGGGCTTTTGCTCCAACTTTGTATTTTTTCTTTTTTTTTTGGGGGGGGGAACTCCCGTGGAAAGATTATATCCCTGGGCTTCTTTGCGGATATTCTCAACAAAAGCAGGCGGTTGCCAAAAACTTGGGCATCTCCGACCGAGTCTGATGTCCAGGAGAGAAAGGCACCTCTCAGCTTCGCTCTCCATCATTTGATATATGGATCGCCACTCCGGCAATGTGCAGATCGTATCGATGATCTCATCAGCGTGGCAGCACAGACGGATTCAATATTCTCTATCTTGGGTCCCCCAGACTCCCAGAGAGAACAGAGTGCTGATCTTGATAACGCACAGTGGGGGAGCGAGAAGGGCGAGGCGAGGGAGGCATGCTCGAGGTGACGAAGGGAGGGCATTGAGGGAATAGCAACGGGCAGCTCTGAGAATTGGGCGACATACGAGAGAGTGGGCACCGCTCGTGTATTGTACAAGCACTCAGCCACAACAGTGGGGGTATTCTCTCGAACGATGTGGGCAGCCCTGGTGGCGCTCCTCGCCCTCCTCCTCCTCCGACTCCTCTTCCTCCTCCCCCATCCTCCTCCTCCTTCTTCTTCCTACAGCCCTAGAAATCGAACGTCTGTGGCGTCCGCGCATGCACGAGGGACACGGCCGAATCTCGCCCGCAAGAACCTGGCAACATGCACTCGCCCGAAGGAACGAGTAGCACATGAAACAAGGACCCTAGACGGGAAGCGCAACCCCAACGTACATGGGGGCGCCAGCAGCCATGACGAGAAGCGCAACCCAACGGACGACGTGGGGCGCAAGGAATGGCGTATATGGGCACAAGGATGGATGCACAAGGCGCACCAAGAATGCAGCTAAGCGCCACTCACTGGTAGACGATCTCAGGACTCCTGGCGGCCGCGTGGCAGTACATCTTGTCGAAGGCTGTCTTGTCGTTGAATAACGGTAGGAAGAAAGCGGCCACCCCAGGCTGCCCTTCTTGAGCAGCGAGGTCGTACAATATCTGGAACGCCTGGTCGTTAGCAACTGGGCCCACACGTTGGCACTCGAAAGCGGCCTTTTGGAACGCCATGCCGAGAGACTTTTTCGTACGGGAGCCGATAGGCTCAAGACAAGATGCCTTGACACGAATGGCCTCCGCGCCAGTCTTGAAGGCCCAGCGGTCAGCAGCGTCGTCGTAGAAGCTCAGGGTGCCTTCACGACCATTTAGCAGCGGCCTAGCCTTGAGGCCGACAAGGCGCGCGGCCATGCCTGGAACGAACGCGTGCTTCTCGCCGTGCTGCTGAGGAACAATGGCCTTTCCGTGCCGCTGGGACCTCACCACATCAATATCAGTTTCCGCCTTGGCATAGGGTTCGCTCTCCATCGCCACAGAGCCCGAGCCAGTCGCGCCGCCTTCGCCAGGAAGCTGCGCGCTGGACGACTCACCCTTCTCGTGCGCCAGGACTGGCCCGATGGACTCGGCGTGCGTCTGGCGCTCGGATCCCTCCTCCACCGCAGAACGCATGGCCAGCGGCGTATCAGAGAAGCCTTCGAAGAAAACCGGAAGGGGCTTCACGACAAGACGGATGCGGGACTCGCCTTTGGAGTTCTTGTGCCCGTGGTCCACGATACTAGCGCTGTCGATGTCCAGCTGCACCAAGTGGAGTCAAACTTATCATGAGGCTGTTCCGCATAGTCGGCTCCCAGACGGGGAACAGGCAGATCTGCATGATCAGCTTGTCGCTGTGGCTGCACAGTTTGACAACACCTTGGCGGCCATTCGCTAGCTCCTGGATGATCCAATGGAGCCTGGCTGCTGAGACCATGGCGGCGCGGGGGGCAAGGGGGGAGAACAGCGGCTCGCAAGTGCAAGCGAATGGCCCCTCCTCAGGCAGACGCCTGAGCCACAGGGGTTTCCTCCTCCTCCTCCTCCTCCTCCTCCTCCTCCTCCCTCACCCTCTTCGTCCTCCTCCCTCCTCCCTTCTCCTCATCTTCCTCCCTCCTCCCTCCTGCTCCTCTTCCGGGCCATCTCCGTGGCGGCGCACACAAGAGGGTTGGGCCTGGGGGGGTGCTTCTGTCAAGGCACGAGGCGTCCTAGAATCCCCACGAGGTTTCCCAAGGATTGATTCGGTTGACCCCAACGCTCCCGCACGACGAACACGACGACGACGACTGCGACGACGCTGACGACGACGGTTGCCACGGCGGCGACGACGACGACGACGCTTACCCTGGTGCGGACGACGGCAACGACGACAGACACAACGACGACGACGACAACGACGACGACGACGACGACGAGGACGACCGAAGACCGCCGACAATCATCAACGAGGGTGGGACATACATTACTGGGCGGGTGTCTCATTCGGCCGGGGCTCAAAAAGCGGGCCGGCGGGCGGAGCATTCAATGTTAAGCTTCGCGTCGGTGGAGAAGAAACAACAGGAAAACCAAATCAAGCGACATCAACGAAGCCGACGACGGGCGGAACGTTAATGCAGATGGTCGGGCAAGACGTTGCATGGAAACCTCGCGCGTCGATGCGACACGGCTGGCTGAACAGAAGCCATGCAATACTAAAAAACATGACAACGATGACGACAGGTGAAGCATTAAAGCGGGCGGGCGGGCGGAGATTCAAACCTCGCTCTGTAATGGGACAAGGTTGGTCGTCGTCGTTGTTGTGAGTGTCAGCGTCGTCGTCGTGGTGTTCGTCCATTGGCGTCGCAGGGAGGATCCGGAGCCTGTAGATGAGGAGGGCGACCCGGAACTGGAAAGGATTCACCGACATATGCAAATCCCAGCACTTTCGCGGCGGAGACCAACCAAGCGATACCAATCCCAGCCAAGAGAACTTGGAACAAATCTTACGACTTCTGCGAAATGTGCATCTTACGGAATGCTGGAGATGTGCTCCACATTGGGGAACACGTTGGGCTCGTTTTGTTTTCATAGGGTTCCACCACATCTGCAGGCTGATTGCTGGGAGCTCCTGCGGGCTCTTACAGGGGATCCTTCGGGACTTTTGAAACGTCGTAGAGAATCCCACAGAAAATCCAGTGGAAATCTTCTGGATTCTCTAGGGTTCCTTGAGCTTCCTGTGGGAAGCCTCAATTGGTTAGGATTTGTTGTTAGACTTCTTCGGGCTCCTTTCAGGATTACTGCGGGTTCGCAGAGGTCCCTTCTGACTATTTGACGATCATTTGGCTTCTTCCATATTCCCCCGGAAATCGTTCGACAAAAATTTGGGGTCTTCACAAAGAAGTATTGGGGATTCCTCCAGCAAGCATGTAGATTCCACTGGTAATCATCAGAAATTATTCGGGCATCGCACGGGGGTCCACCTTCGATTTCTCGGGAGTCAATGGCAAATCCCCCGGACTTGCTAAGAATCCTCGGGCTTCGCGCGGACTCATTGACCTTGAACACTCTGTAGCAATTGACAAGTACGCGCCGTTATTCTGAATATGTGGTGTAATATGGTTGCGCTTGTCGTGGTCGTGTCATCATGTTTGCGTTGGCTCAACGACTCCGTGACTCCCTGGTGCAGTGTTGTTGCGTTGCCGTTGCGCGGGTTAGGCGGTGCATCTACATTATCCAACCAATGCTTGCACTGAAGGGAGATTGACAGGTTTTACGAGACCTATGTTGCATCACGCCAGCAATTCGGCCCTTGACTTTCGCCCTGGGTTCGGTTTAATGAAGTGATGAACTTCGGGGTCCTTACGTGGGAAAAAAAAACATCACTTCACTAATGTGGAGCCCCTGGGGCCTCAGTGGGTCCTGGGGCCCAAAATTAATGACGTGATGGTTTTCGGGCCTCGAAGATTTGGCGAACATTCCTGGCCGACTTCGGTGGGCAGCAAGAATCCCGGGCTCCTCGGTCTGGGTTCCCCGGTTCCCACTTGCTGTTTCGGGGAAAATTTCGGTGGGCGGCTGGGCTCCTGGGGCTCCAATTTTGGGCCCCTGTGTTCCCATCTCCCTGGTCGATCTCACTGTCGATTTCACGATCGATCTCACCATACATCTCATTCAATCGATCCCACTATTGATACCACTACCGATCTCACTCTCGATC